AACAATCGTCGTATGGCTCGGAAGAGTATTGTGAACAAGTGATTTTTGGTTTTTCTTCTTTTTTCTTTCTTTGGTTAAAATTGTTTTGTTTAGTAAAATTCAAGTATGATATCTCAAGTACTTGTGGTTGATTTTAGATACATATAAAGGTTGCATCATGTAAAAGATACTTAAGGACAGCGTTACGAAGCCTTATTAGAAGTAAGTGTACAATTGATATAGAAAGGCGTTTAGGATGTTTATGAAAACTTCTTTAGAGATTATGAACACTACTCATCTTTTAAAAGTAAGGAGTCACATGCAATTGATACCATAAAGATATAACAAACTCATGCAATGCCTCTAAATGTGCATGAGTATTAGTCATTGGAAGTGATCCATCTAGTGCAGCATGAAGGGAAAGGCTTGATCTGCTCATTCCCCCTCTTTCTTTGAAGCAGAAAGGCGTTCCTCGGCGTGGGCGTGGTACATTCTGCGGAGGGGTTCCTCCGCTTAGTTCTTCCTGCCATGCCAATGCGATCATCCAATTGGACGGGGTGTGAAATGAAAGTTGCACCCTTTCGGTGTCTCGTATGTATGAGATGCCATACTGGGGCAAGGGACGATTGGGAATGTCTCGTATTAGCGAAAACAGACTCACAAGCTTGAAACATTTGCCTATTTTCGTCAATTTTCACACTTACAAATTAAATGCTTTAACTGAAAACTCAGTAGAGTATAGAATATGATATGACGCTTAAGCACCTATTCTAATCATCATCATTGTGTTTTTAAAATCTGATCACAAGCTTACTTACAACAATTGCTCATATTATGTATCCAACTACCTTTTCAATGTCCTTTAGCTATCCATGGTATCATCAGATTTTAAATCAAGATAAAGACGATACAAAGGAAACTATATATATACTGTACATCAAATACCAAACACAACAAAAGAAGTATTTACATAATAGTTTATAACTAAATGTTTAACTGATGAAAGACACAAATACTTCAGTATTAATCTGAAACATACTAGTTGTTACCTTGTATAAAATTATTAGAAAAACAAATTAAGAAAGTCCTCAAATTACTTTTGTTTACATTATATAACACTCGAGAATTGAATCTTTACTTAACACTTACCACCGTTAAAGCAAAAATCACTTGAATAATCTAAAGTCTTCGTAACATGTCAACATTATTGAATTCGTCAAGTTTTTTTCTCCGAATTAGTCTACTACTTGAATATAGCACACCATTGTATAGAATAAGAATTTAGCTGATTCTTTTATGCACTAGAGTTAGAGACTAGAGAACGTATATTTTATATGGTTTTACTTTAAACTAGTATAAATTAAATAATATTGGAGGATTTGATCATATCTTCTCCTTCTATTGTTTGCATCACTTAAATCGATGGTCCCATCTCTATTAAAATTGGAGTAACTGGGACCTGTCGATATTTTTAAATGTAAAGACACACAATTTTTAGATTAATCATCAAACAGTTCAATAATTCAATTATTTTATATTCAGAATGGGGACCTTTGATTAATTAGCTAATTCTTTACCGGTCCAAAATATAAAGATATATACAAAGAAATAATCAATGTAATAATAGAGACAACAACACCAACAATAACAACAATTAATAAATTAAGAACTTATATCCATCTTATTGGCTGTAATTTCAACCACTAAATAATGAACATCGTACATATTACACACTGTATGTACATTATTATATAAGATGGTACATATAAATACACCCACTTCTACGATAATTATTTAATATATCTTTGGAAATAAATTGATACATTACATGAGAAAAGTCTGCCTCTCTATATTTGCGATTTAACTATTTGTAGGTGATTGATATTCTTTAATACAACTAATATAAGTTTCAAAAAAAAAAAAATAATAATAATTACATTAAATTAGCATTATAGACTTGCTTTGTTTTGTCTGCACAAATCTGAATTAGCACAGAAATAGGAATATGCCCAAAAGAAACAGCAACAAAATTCCAAAAACAAAAAGAAGCAAAAACAGGTAGGGTAATGATGATGTAAAGCAG